TATCCAAAAAGTCCAATGGACACCGTGAACACACTGCGACTCTTAGCAGTATCCAGAGCCGGGGTTTCCACTCCGGCCTATCCATCGCAGTCCAGCAGCTACCAACAACCGCATCTGCTGACATGCCCCAAAATGAGCGGGCGGACCGCCATTGCAAAAAGCGGGAGGGACGGACGGAATACAATGAATGCCCATTCACATCCGCCTCGGATCACAGGACCACATCTGGTGTGTGAGTGATCTTAATGCAGTTATGCAGTCAATACAAACAATCCTGGCAATGAAATCAGCCAATCGAGGGGTGAATGCTGGGGGGTGGGGGGGGGGGAGAAGGATATCAACCGGCGGCGATGTGTGTTTTGTAACGAGCACTTAACTATATAACTACGCACTTGTACCTAATTCCCGCCCCATTCTGTCTCCGCAGCTACTTGCGTGGGCTTCATTGTGACTCCGCCTATCTAGGCTAAAATCCCTCCACCGCTATTTTGTATTTTACACCGCATTTTCTTTCTTTCTTTCTTTCTTTCTTTCTTTTTCTTTTCTTTTTTACTTCAATTTTGGATATATCTGTTGGCCGCACTCTTATTCTGTCTTTGGATTATCACTGGTCTGTTTCAAGTACTATATTCCATCATCCTGCTTCCAACCGCCAATATCGGTTAACAAATAAGAGGAGGGAAAAAAAAAAAAAAAAAAAAAAAAAAAAAAAAAAAAAACCGAAAATCTTGTCCAGCAATCTCACCGGGAATATATTCATGTGAGAGACCTGGTGTTCATCAACTCCCTGCAGATATGCACCCCAGAAACCTTGCAGCGAATTAGCGTGACATTGTGTCAGACCTTTCGGCAATTCTCTCTCCGCGATACTGTGATACATCTCAAAGAGCTGGCGGGCAGGGTTGCGAAATGCGTGATTGACGGAGATGAAGAGTTGAGCTATGCGCCTGTGAGCGGGAAGTCCCATCCTAACAGTGCGTAGATAAAGAAGGTCCTTAATCTGCCCTATCCCGCATCCTGCAGTAGTTGCGCCATAGTTGGCGAATCCCTCCGTCCTACAACATCCAACCTTTCAACTGCCTCACGGGGGCCGGATGGGCTACTGGGGTTGTATGGATACGACCAGAGTTATTGATGCATCAACCACATCTACAACGTCATTATTTCCATATAGTTTTCGCTTAGTTATATTTTCTCTCCTTTCTTTTCTCATCTTTCTTTCTTTCTTTCTTTCTTTTTTTTTTTTTTTTTGTAATTTTATATGTTATATGTTATATTTTATTAATTCTCCCCCCACCCTTCTTCTTTTTTGTCAGTTCTGATAGGGTGGATCGTCGCGAACAGCTCTTGATCTATGGGGGATGTGTTATGTAACTCTGTAAACCCCCTGAGACGATTAATTTATCGTTACCGGTAAAACAATGATGATATCAGTCATTTCATATTCCTCGTCGGAACTGAGGAGGTAGGAGGCTGTTCATCTTATATGAGCCGAAGCTGATTGAGGGCACCGGCATTTGAGAAACCCAATCCTTGTAGTTAAGGTTCGTAGCTAACTATCTTGTCAGGCGAGAGACACCTAAATATAGGGTTCCGGAAACAGGCATATACAAATACGGCAATTTAAGCTCCATATCGCGTGAATCTTATCAGACGAATGGTTAACAGATCATAATTACCAAGGTACCCTAGATGAATTTACGGCGAACATTCAGATCATGCACAGAGACAGGGGGGATAGCAAGGAAACGACACGTGTATATAGTTAGTTATACATCGAATCGTGACGGTTTAACCCGCCAAACTTTCGTACTCAGAAACTGTTGCTCACAACAACGGCCAAAGTTCTCGAGTCGACCTATATATTTTTAGAAACAATGCCTCTTACTGGGGCCCACCAATGATGTAACCGGGTGCTTGAACCTGAATAACGTTCATGTTTTATTTCAAAGCTTCCCTCAAAAACTGTGGACTTCGAAAATATACCGGGATCCCCCTCCCCCGAACTGCTGGCCGGCAAACTGTATTGTCATAACCTTGATAGATCGAATCTCACCAGATTTGCCGGAAGATCGACTTTTTAGAATACGCTGGGAAACGTAAAGTTTACATAGTTAACGAAGGAGGAGCCCGGGGGGGGGGGGGGGGGGTGGTGGCTATTTGGTCTAGCCCGGGAATACACCCCCCAGTTCCTGCGGATATATGCGTACAGCCAAGTATTTCCGTTGTAGATAAGTACGTTGAGAGACATGATGTTCTGTACCTTGCAGACAGGTAGCAGATCTGGCTGTCAGGCTTGGATCTGGTCAACTACGGGGAGAACTTGAGGAACGGTGAGAGGAGCTTCAGCGGCTAAAATATAGTAGCCCGTTTTCTTCTGTGGCACGAAGTAGACTTGAGGAGACCAGGTAGTACGAAAGCTGATGCAGCTCAAGCAAGCAGAATACTTGACAATCCAATGATCTGGGTGTGAGTGTGCTGAAATCTCCTCAAAATGGAGACGTCGGTGTCGATATCCTGGGTTTTGGCGGGTCAACTCGTAGGCAAATCTACTGGATAGATAGGGCGGTTGTGTTTTCAGCCAACTGGAAGATTTTCTAGTTTAAGACGACGAATTGGCAGAGATTCTGTCAAAGGGTTGCTCGTCAACATTAATGGGATTTTCGGTTTTTAGATGGCAGATTCGTAGTTCTTATGAGAGATGCATTTATCCAAGCCTGAGTCCGTCCAAAGACAATCCATACGAATCACATTTTGAAAGATGAATAAGGTGTTAACCAGAGGTTCGAAATAATGGCCTTAGCAGCTTAAGCTCCAGATGCAGATGTATTCCGTTTTGAGTTGAGTTCCCTGTTAGGAGAGCGGACCGTAGGCATCGGCGAACATTTTGCCTGTGAAATCTCTCGGAAAGGGCCGTAGGCGATGAAGCCCCCAGCCGAGATTTGGAACATGCGGTCGCCCGACAGCTTATTGTGTGTCAGATTCTTACTCTATACAACCCTCCGTGTATCAAGTTTCCGGCCACTGGACCTAGCCCGCCTGATAATACGCGCGCTTCAACACACACACACACACACGGAGTGGATCCTGGGGTATTTTGAGATGGAATATGCTAATGATGATGGTGGTGGTGGTGGTGGTGGTGATGATGATAATCATAATCATAACAATGAGTATAATAATAAGGAAGTAAAAACATGAAACAAACTGTCAACAGGACCGCCGCTTCTCCACACCCCGTTGGAGTTCCCAGTCCACGTAACTCCGTTTGCCAGCAGCAGAAGCTGCAGCGGCGACGGCAGCGGCGGCTTTTGACAGTGTAGCTGATGCACAGAAGAAATGGAGTTTAACAAATATCAAGAGTAAACTTTACACCACGGGTCCACGGAGTCTGGTTCCGTTCTGAAAGGCTAAAATGAACCTGATGACGTGAAGCATTTTCTTATTTCTTTCAGGATTCACTTCTTTCGAATGCGTCCTCAACGTTCTTGATTCACCGGGGTTTGCCATATGATCTGTCTGTTGATGATGATGATGATTGCCGTGGCATTAGGTAGATCAACTATCAGACAATGTGAGCCATTTTTAAAATTGTGAAAAGGGATTGAATAAAAAAAAAAAAAAGAAAAACAAAAAAAACAGTTCATGATTCATGGTTAAATTAAGCAAGGTTTTGTGCAAGTTAGAGTGGTTGGTTTAGTTAACTTAGTCTCTATGAGGCATAATGTTGAAGCATGATTTTAAAATTTCAGCTGGAAAACCTTCAGTGTCTCATTTAAAACAACTTCTACTAGTCAAACACACACACACACACACACACACACACACACACACACACACACATTTGTTATATGCTTTTTTGATGAGAGTGATATATCATATTTCTCAGGTTCGAATTCTAACCTAACTCTAACCCACCTGTAACTCTGCTGTTGAGGGCGATGAGGTTGATGAGAGATGTAGTAGTAGCAATCGTCTGATGGGGTGTAACTTGTAGACTGTTGAGTGTAGACCAGAGTTGATCAGGGTTTTAAATAAGTGGGGCCCAAACTCCTAAGCCACGTTCAACTTGTGTAAAATCACATTCCACTGCAACCTTATATTCTCTCAACTTAAAGGAATCGCAAGTAAAAAATTATGATAAATAAAAGAAAATACCAATGACAATAATAATAATAATAATAATAATAATAATAATAATAATAATAATAATAATAATAATAATAATAATAATAATAATAATAATAATAATAATAATAGAGGGCACGGATAACTTTTCAGATGACGCTCATCTTGACCGTATAGTAGCTCATTTCCATTGGAAAATTTTTGGGGGAAAAAGAAAGGCACAAAGAAGAAATCAGCTGCTATCAGGAAGAAGGTGATTGAGAAACTGCCTCGGTAAATGGTCATATTAAACGCGCATCAAAGTTCCCAGCCCAAGCTTAAGGCCAGAAAGCCAATTCCAAGAACCCCCCCAGTTGGGCTCCCAGGCAGCAGCAGAAGATGAAGAAGATGTTGGAAAATCGAAATCGAAATCAAGAAAAAAAATAAAAAATAAAAAAGAAAAAAGAAAAAAAGTTTTAAAAAGAGAGCCCAGTGATGACACAGAAATGCAACTAGCTGCCTACACGAAACTTAAAACGCAAACTAATTTCCTGCACGAGCGGGCCGCGCCTCTTTTGCTGATCCATTCTGCTTGGATCATGTGCTGTTTCAAGGATCGGAGATACGATAAACATTTCTGTTACGGGCCCACCCCACCACGCATGGTTGGTGACATAGGGCCCACAGGAAAAGTAAAATGTAACAAAAATTGTGTGGCTGTATGCCTTCTTTTTTTTTTTTTCTTCTTTCTTCTTTTTTGTTTTTCTTTTTTCTTTTTTCTTTTTATTTCTTTTTGTGGTAGTTTTTCTTTTCTTTCCCATATTTTCCTGCTTGTGTTTGCTACAGTTTTTCGGTAAACGAAACTCCGTTGTATCATGTCGGTTTACCCGGAAAGCCAAGGCAATCAACACTAGCATACTAGATACGGTTTGATATCAACGTAAGCCGGCTTTTGAGTTTTTGAGTTTATTCGGCAGAACGGTGGACACAAGGTGTTTGGGCGCAGGTAAGATAGGTAGGTCTCTTGGAGAGATCATATGTACAAATCTTTTTCCGATGCTCCTCCTCTTGTTACATCGATGCATACCCAGATTCAGCTGCCGGGAGAATGGAGCCTTAAAAACCAGTTACTTCGATAGATGTTGCTCGATGTGTGCATGTTTCAGCGCGGCCTTTTCCGTTATCTCAGCGACACACACCCTCACGTAATATCCCCCTCTCTTCCTTGACCATTAAGAAATAAATACAAGAGATTTACATGTTGCGGCCAGGGAGGGAAGAGAATCAATTATTGGGTTAGGCCGGCGGGGGGCTGTTTGTCGGCGCGCGCTTGAATTGGCTCGGGGAGTAAGTAGTCTATACAGAGTACGGGTCATAGATAAACTAAGACGGGCTGGTGGTGAACGAATTAACCGTCTTCTTTCCTCCGGTGAGAGAGTGGAGAGGGCGGATTCGGTGGAGAGTGATGAATAATGGAAGGATTCACTACGCGCTTTTATCAATGGAGCCGATACCCATCAGCATTAACCGGAAGGGCCCCATCGGCCCATCACCTCATAGCTCCTGTGGCCCCCGTTTACGGAGGATACCTGAGACCTGTGTCTGTCTCAACGGTTGGGAGGCGGTCAAGGCGGTCAAGTTTAGTTTGGTGCCTACCTATTTCGAGCGGGTCAACACATCATCATAGATGAGTCCACTAACTACTGCACGCTAAGTCAACCAATTACTTTTTCTTTTCTTTATTTTATATTTTTTTTTTTTTTTTTTAAAAAAAAATTGATTTATTTTCTTTTTTTCTCTTCTTTTTTGTTGGTGTTGTTGATGACATGACCGCTGCCCGATTTCCCTAATTCAGGAACTGAGAGGTGGGAGAGAGTTGTGGCTCACAGATATTTGCAACACAGACATGGGCAACTCGACCGGATGGGCTCTGGATTTGAAACGAATAAAAGCTTCTTTGTTCGCCTCCTGTTATTTCGCTACATTTGTTGCCTCATCCTGGCCTCCCCTACAGTCAGTTCGTTTCATAGCTCTTTTCTTCCTGTACGGGGTTGTCGTGTGGCGGGGGAAAGGGGAAGGGGGGGGGTGCATTTGTATGCTGATTCGTTAAGGGCTAGGGTGGAGATCGGTTTCCTAACCTTGGGAGATGTTTTGCTGGTCGCGGTCGGGTCGGGTCGATGTCTTTCTTCTTGGGATCCATAGCCCATGGATGGTTCCTATTGTGTGGATAATAATGAGGTGATACCAACAAGGACCGGACGGACGTGGGAATTTGTTGTCAATCGGTGGCAAGTTCAGAGGGGGTTGGAGAAGTTTCAAACCCAGAGGGAGCAGGCGTGCGTCAAGAATACTGAGGCCCCGCCGGCCCCGTTGGGAGCGTACGAGTTCGTAGGGCTGTTATATGGGCGGCTTCTATCGGATATCCGCACGGAACTGCTTCTGGCCAAAACATTCTCGTCCTATTTTCTGGTTTAACGAATGGGTCCAAGGATTAGAGACCAATTATGCATAAGAGGGATTGATTGGTTACATGAGACTGTCTTTTGAAGTCTCTTTTTCCCTGTTGCAAGCGAAACTCTGAATATCAATATCGATTTAACCTACCATTCATCATTCCCTTGAACCTTGTTCAGCTCGCGCCTTTTTTTTTCTTCATTTCGTCTTTGAATCCCGTGATATCTGTAGCCCTAATCCGGTAGTTATGGACTTGAGCTATAATAATAATAATTATTATAATAATTAGTAGACATGGATGGTTCCTCGCAAGCCCACTCTGGAACTCCGTGCCCATACTTTTCCCATCAATGGAACGGAAGCAGTCATGTTTTTAATTTTGTTTTTTTCTCCTTAGCGGTGCGGCGGTCGCCGCCGCGAACCTTCAACCTCCCCGTTGAAAGGCAAAACAAAGCAAGAAAGGGGATATAGTTTTAAGGTGAATTAATTCTGCTTGGAGAAAACCCTGGGTGGCCAAAGGGAGGAGGAATCCACCACCACGGACCAAGAAGAGACAAAAGCGAGGACACACCTTTCGAAGGGGACTGGGTTCCACATTTCCTCCCACTCATGGTTGAGCTAATGGTTGCTACCTCAGTTCATCATAACTACCAATGGTACGTACCATTGAGATGGATGGATGATTGATGGGTGTAGCCGTGACGGACCGGCAACCGTCTGCATGTCGGCTACCGCACGGCACCGGACCCGCAGACAGCAAAACAATACGGTTTCAATTAAAGCTGGAAGATCAACTATAACAAGATGTTTCAAAGGAAAAGAGCTGATCAGAAAATACAGCAGCATGGATAAAATGGCTGGGCAACGCTGGGGGAAGAAGCACCATAATAAAAAGGAATGAGCAAGCAACTTTTGGAATGGTAATAATACGTGGGAGTTTATTATTATTTTCATGTGCACAAAGGACAGACACCTGCCCAGCAGAGGGGGGACGGATAATAAACGATGTTGTGTGACATCCCTCGCCTAGATTTCGTCAAGAGTGTTTTTTACTTTTATTATTATTATTATTATTATTATTATTTTTGCATTTTATTCATTTATTTATTTTCTTGCATTTCTTCGTCTTTCTATTCGCCTGGCTTCATCTTGTGGCGTAGGGTTGCACCGGCTGGTTGGGTCATATGCTCATCATCATCATCAGCAGCAATCATCGTGGCTCTTTGCTCGGTGTTCATCAACAACCTTCGACTTCGATTCGAGGAGGAAAGCCACGATTTTAGCTTCACGCTTTGCAATTCCTGTTTCCAGTTCCTGATTCGAAGACACCCTTGTTTTTTCTGAGATGGTTGGTATCCGGGTGTTACATGGATAACAACAGCGGCTTATGTAAAATACGTCTGAACAATCATGTGTCGGATTGGTTTCTTATTTCTCTTTCAAAATTCTTTTCTTTTTTTTTCTTTTATTCTTCTTTTCTTTTCTTTTCTTTTTCGCGGTGACGACACTGATAAGCCACTGGGAGAAGAAAAGAAAAGAAAAAGAAAAAAAAAAAAACGAAAAGCTAGATCCGGGGACATGTTGGGGCTGTGATGGTTGCAGGTTCGGGGGGCCACAGTCAGGGCTTGTAGCTTGTCCTATACCATCGACATCATTGTGCATATGGACAATCAGCTGAACGTGTCGTACCTAAGACTAGCGACGGGACCCAACTTTTTGTGTGCCCAACGAATAATGCTTTGTCGATGATTTGACTGATCCTCTGGGGCTTTGACAGGGAGAGTGAGGCTGTACCTGACCAAAAAAAGTTGTCGTCCCAAGCAGGCGGACATGAACTATAATAACGCAGTTATGGCGTAAACACAATGACCGCAACAAAAAGTGGCCCCGCCCGAGTAGATAAACATGGGGAAAGTAAAGTGGCAGCTAAATGCATTATTCTTGAACCAGGATTTCAGGCTCAACCCAAAAGTTCCCACACGAAAAATAAAAAACACGGTTGAGGGTACGAACTAAACTATATTATTGATTGGGGGATGAACCAGACTTTGGATCGAGAGGTCCTTGAACCATTTCATTGTTGGTATCCCCAAACCACGCAGCCCCCCAGCGACTTCCAGTCATTCCATCCCTTCACAGGTGTGTGTGTGTCTTATAATAATATTCCTTCCGTCATTCCAGGACTCGATCAGCAGCTGCCTGCTCCGTCCCTGGGCAAATAATATGGAGGCCCACCCCAAGGTTCCATCCACCACCGATCGCCCGGGGGGGGGGGAGGGCGAATGGCAAGTTATGGGATGTATCCGTATGGTAAAACACATTGACGGGTACTGTCCGGTACGGTACGGGTTGTGTGTGTTGTACGGTATAGCCCCAGACGGGATTTCCAACCGGCATACCCACTGCGGCAAACCGTGTTACCATTGGCCGGCGGCAGGAGATTCCAGCGGATTGCCGTGTAATTGGCGTTGATCAGGGATGGTGTTCTGGTATGTAACGGCTGTATTTTGAACATTGATTCAGCTGTAATGATAATGATGATAATAATAATAATAATAATAATAATAATAATAATGATAATAATGATAATGGTAATAAAATAATCGGGACAAAAAGAAACCAGTGGTTTTCTGCCTGCCAGCCTGCCTGTCTGTCAGATTGGAACCCTATCCATATAATGACGCTGGTGATTTATTGAAGGCTACTGATGACGGTGCGTGCTCCACACCATCTATATAACCTTTTACTGTTCCCTTCCTCCTTCAGCCCAGTCAGCCAAGACCAGCAAGAGCGGATACTTCCCCCGCCGAAACCGTGAGTAATACCTTAGATACAAGATACCTTAGATACCTTGGATACTTTTGGTTCGGTGTTTCTGGTACGGGAGATACCAAATACTTGATCGTGTATTTTCCGTTGATTTTATTATCCGTATCGATTGGTCTTTTGATGAATTCTCATTGATCGAACGCTCGTAATCTTAGTATAATATCACACCTGTTTTATGGTGCTGGCAGGATTGTTGTTGTTGTTGTTGTGGTGGTGGTGGTTTTTCCCATGTAGCTCAGAACAATTTTTTATTTGTGGATTTCTCCCGCTTTGACTATTCCTCGCCCCTTCAGCAGTTACGGAGAGGTTTATCTGAACTCTTGCTGTCTCTGTCGCTGCGGTTATTTTAGAATTTACTGCATTGTGGATTTGCTTCAACAAGGTTTGTACGGCCGACCCATGGTGCAGTTCCCTTCCCCTTCCCCTTCCCAAGCAGGCCCTTTAGAGTCTAACGAGTTCCATGGGGCAGAAGATCCGGCAGTTGTCATAATTTCTTCTTAATCCTAGGCTAGGCTATGAAAGCTATTATTGTTGAAACTAATCACCTGCTGCTTGCTGCTGCTGGTTGCTGGAAAGGGGGGGGGGGGAGAAACGGAGGCATCCCACGGGAGCATAATAATTAGGCTGGTGGAGCTTTTATTTTTTCCAAGAGGAAGAAAGCAAAAAGGAAAAAGGTACCAGTTAAAAAAAAGGTTGATTTGATGCCTCCAGATCTAATTCGATCGTCCTTTATTCTCCGTTAATAATTCATCTTTTATTTTTCTCTCTGTTCAGCTTCGTTTACCCTTTCCCTTTTCTTATTCCCATCTTTGCCTCGTGATAGCATCATTTTGCTGCCTCTCCCTTTGAAGGCTTTCGATCTCTTCTTTTTTCCCTTTTCTTCTCTTCCTCCCCTCCCTTTCCCCCCCTCCCTCCCCCCCCCTTCTCCCCTCCCCCCCCTTCTCCCCTCCTTTTTTCTCCTTCTTGCTGCTTGCTCACTCCGGGGCCATACATTTCTCGAGGGTATATTCTTCTTCTTCTTCTTCTTCTTCTTCTTCTTCTTCTTATTCCTCTTCTTCCTTCTCTTCCTCTTCTTCTTTCTCTCTCTCTTGCCCCTTTCCCTCATACCCATCTCACTCCCTATCCGGCTCTCTCTCTCTCTCTACTACATCTCCCGTCATATATATTCACAATCTTGTTATACCACCTGTTGTCTTCTGCCCTCGTTTCAGCTTTTCTGAGACTCCTTTTTTTCATTTGTTCTGTTTCTTCCTGCCCTTTCCCCACTCCATCCCCTGTTCCATCTCCCCTCCCTTTTTCCCCACCATCTGAACGGGGGAGAAAAGAACAGCA